AATTCTCTGATTTAAAAACCACAAATCTGTGGTTTTCCATAATTAAAATGAAACACCACTATATATATACACACACACACACACACACACACACAGGTATCAGTTGAACCCAATGTTTTGTTGATACATTTACAATCTGAAATCATTTGGAAGCCTACCAGTGCCTCAAGCATTATAATAAAATAAAATCTAAATACCTACATATTTTGGCATTTGATTTTGTTTCTTTTATCATGGAAAATCAGAGCTTCTCCTGCCCTTTTGCTTACCATGATGTGGGCCAAACTGTGGCTGTCCCTTGCCACTGGTTTGTGGTGCTGGGCAGCCCTGATATGCCAGTGCCCTGCTCTTGCCCGTGCCATTACCCATGGCTCCCAAGTTACAGCCTCCCTAGCCCTGCTGGTGCCCCTCACTCCTGACCCACAGCCCCCATCACTGCCTGTGCCCCCTCACTCCTGAGCTGCAGCCCCTTCTTTACCCAGCCCTGCCAAAGGGGGCCCCCAGCTGCAAGGGATATGGGACCTGGAGGCTGCATCCTGCCTGTTCCCTGCCCCGCAGATGCCAGCTGCAGCCAGCCAGCAGCACCTAAGCCCCAGCTGCCATGTACAGGAGACAGCAGTTCCTGTGGCCAGAGTTGAGAGAGGAGTGTGGAGCCCAGCCCCCCATGGGCAACATGGCCAGAGTCAAGCCAAGCAGAACCCATGGGGGCAGTGGCAGGAGCAGGAGGAGGATGCAGGCTGCTTGCTGCAGGGATTGGGGCACCCTGCCCTGCTGCCCTCCTCCTGGGGATCTCCACAGGCCAGTAGGCAGCACTTGGTGCAAGGAGGGTGGAGTGGGGCAGCGAGATTTGGTGATATAGCCACCACCACTGGGATCCCATGCCAGCCATGCTGCCGAAGTGAGGTGTCCCCTGCCCGCTTGCCCACACCAAGGGTGATGGCAGTGTGGAGATGTGCCCTCTTGCTGTGGCCAGGTGGGTAGGGAGCACCTCACCTTGTCAGCATGGCTGGCATGGGGCTCCTGGAGCTGGCAGTGGAAGCACCGAGTCTCCCCACACTGCTCTGCCTTTCTGTGCCAGATCCCTCCCATCGGGCCACAGAGGCAGCTCCAGCCCAGTGCTGACCTGGCCAGGGTGCAGCCCCATGCCCTGTGTCCTGCTCTCCGTGCAGAAATCTGGGGGGACACATGTCCCCCCATGCTTCCTTGACATGTTGCCAATGGGTGTGCCCGGACCACGCCTCAACAGTCCCCAAGCCCTGACCCTCCAGACCCCCTCCCCATCCCATATACTTACCTTTATCCAGCTACCAGGACTGCTCTCACCACCCTGCCTGTCTGTATTGCCAGCCATATATGTGTATGCATGCACACGCATGTGGCTCCCCCTGCCTCCACTCCCCCAGCCCCAAGCAGCCCCTGGTAGGCTGGAACTCTGCCATCCTGCAAGAGAAAACCTGTGGTTTTCCACTTCAAAGGGAAAAATCTGTGTTTTTCTCCTTTAAAGGGTAAAATCCAGGTTTTTACACGGGGAACAGAAAACTCAGATCCCTACTCATGAGTCACTAGAATTTCTATCCCTCTGATGCCTGGTATTCCTTTGGCCTGAAAGGCATTTTCTCTCAGATGCCTTTGCTATAGAGCAGGGGCATCAAGCTTATCCAGCCTCGCAGGTTAGATGAGTGGTGTGGGGCTGGTCTATGAGCCAGACCAGACCCACAAACTGGTCCCATGTTCCAGATCCAGTGAATTTCCTGAAGCAGCCAGGCACAGTGTATGGCCAAGCCGTGGTCCAGCTGCTCCAGGGCTGTGCCACGTGGCCCCACGTGGGGCCATCGGGCATGCTCCACATGCTGCCTGCAGGTCACTGAGGCATCCAAGCAGCACCAGGGGCCAGATGATGTGGCTCCATGGGCTGGATCTTTGACACCCCTGCTACAGAGGAGTTGACTTCCTCAGTGCTGGTGGGTACAGAATAATATGGGTTTCCAATGAGACCACACATGCCATGTCAATACCACAAAACACAGGAAAACATTCATGACACCCAAGAACCCTGTTATGTTTTGGGGGTTTGTGACAGTGGCTGAAAATGAAAAGGTAGGGGAAAAATACTTTCTGACAAAAGGAACCAATTTTTCAGAAATGAAATGGCTTTGACCAAAATACAGTTTTCTTTGGGAAAAAAAAAATCACATGAAAACTATCTTCAGCAGCAGCTCTGCTTTCAGCCTTTCTTTATTTTAATCAATGTAATTAGCAATTTTAAGTATAATATTGATAACTTTCATAGAAATATGTCAAGTGCGTGTATGACTGAGCATCATTTTGTCACAGAGGCAATAGAGATAGTGTGGACCTTCAGCTCATCAAGACACATCAGTATCACAGTAAATGATGAAAAGAACATCTGAACCTTATCAAGTCAAGTGGAATCAAATGTGTTCAGCATCTTGTGGAGTGACACACCTGTTTTTTGATTCCACTCATAAAACAGATTATTACCTAGCTGTTTCAGCATATGCCATGTGAGGTATGCAAATACATATTCATTGACACTTCTATGCATTTTTCCTTTTAAAAAAAACCAAGATGTTAGTCTTTCAAAAGCTATATTTGAGTTACAAACATGGGGTATATAACAGTTTTCCACACAGCCAACAAAAAGACGGTCTCCCTTACTCAGGGAATAATTAATTTAAGAATATAGAGTATTTGCAATTAGCAAGACATGTTCAGTTTTCTCATTATCATTGTTAATTAGCAAATATTAATGTAATCTTCATGTATGAGAAGGAAAAACAATTAAAGTTAGTGATTTTAAAAAGTCCTCTGTGGCCTTAACTAAATTGAGACTAATGTCTTGCTAATCGATTAATCAGTCACTGACTATCAGACCATCCACCTCCATCTCAAATCTTATTGTTAGGATTAGTCAGTGTAGCACCACATTTCAAAATGAGCCAATGTCATTTAACCTCTGGGAGAATGAGTTGGAACAGAGGAATAACAACAACATATAAAACCTCTCTCCTTTACTATGAATACAACTTAGATTGGTAGACAACCAAGTGACAGGCAAGAATTCTTGTGGGTGATATCTTTTATTTTATCATCTTTTATTTTTATCTCAGCCGCGTGGTGGGGATAGACATAGACAAGCTTTGGATATCTCCGTACCCTTCTTCTGGTCTCTGGGAGGGAAGCAGACACAGGAGAGCTAAATAACTGATAGAAATCTTGTGTGAAACTTAAATGCAAATAAAAACTGGCTATATGAAATTATCAGGCAGTCAACAGACCAGAGAAATACCCCTGATAATAGAAGCATGAGATCAAGGATCAGGATCATTATTGCCCAAGTACAGAGATTAATGAGTAGCAGGTAGATAGGTTTCTTATTTTTTAAAGTGCATCAGTTGGCATCTCACTTTTACACGTGCTCCAGGGGCGGGGGGTGGCACTTTAATTAGAGAGGTTCCAAGAGCTCTTCTGATTAAGTGCCGCCTGTATCAGCATCCCCATGATTGAAAATGGCAGTGGAGGCGCTTGATCTAAAGCTTGTTCAGTGAGCTTTAGGTCAAGCACCCCCACCACCATTTTTAAGCTCAGGGATGCTGATACAGGAGGCTGCTGGAGTGCAGCAATTGCCATGATCCAGCAGACTCAGTTAATCAAGGCTGCTTCGACGCACTGGAGTTCCTGCACAGCAGAGCAGTCCCAGTGCTTGTGTATAGGTGCCCTCAGTTCCATTAAAGTCCGTTGCAAAACTGCATTGATACAAAAAGACTCTTTTCCAATGCTCAGAAATGTCAGTTATAAAAGAAATAACTCCTAAAAATGGCAATTTCTTGCTAGAGCTTATTTTCACTGCTTTAATAGTGAAACAATTAACCTGCTCAGTGAAGTTATAAAGCTGAACCAAAAAAAATGAGGACGTTTTTCACAAAGTAGAAAATGTTTCTGTTCTCTAACAGAGATGTATTTCAAAGCACATCAGACATGAGTGTAAGAACTGTCTTTTCCTTAAGAAGAAAAAGGAGGAATAAAACCTAAGTAAGAAAATGGGACTGTAAATGCTTTTTTCGGGGGAGGGGGAGGGCAGTATTATAAAGGAACAACTATCAGGAAAAGTGTGTAAAAAAGGTTAATTTTTAATGTCATTGAATAGATTTGTGCTGGTCACAAGTAGTAAACAAATGCTAGAGACAGACAGAAGGGGCAAGATCTCAGTTAAGAAAAATGGATAGAGAAAAAGAGACTACCACTAAGAATGACAACATCCAATTTTCTTTTACATTGTAAAATGGCTTTCCAATAAAATCCAACCAAATGTTTGCAAGGATTAAAATACCACAGTTGCACCATAAAATAAGAACTGGAAATGCAAACCTAGACTTGAAAGATAACTAATGTAATGTTTAAATACTTGAATTACAACCTGATAAAATACCGATTCTATGCTTTCTTTATAATGCACAGACTTCTACTGAATGATGCCCTTGTTTCTTGCCATTAGAAATACACACAGTATCAAACACTTTCTGGGCAGATGCTTATCTCCTTCACAGGCAAACATAAAGGACAAGGGGGGAAAAAAAAGATGTTCAGGTTTTGTACAAAGAACACACACAACAGAAATGACTCTGAATTTTAGCGATTTCAAGCTTTAAATCAATTTGAAAAATGTTCATGTTGGTTAATTTTTTTCGGTCATTTTAAATAGTCAGAATTTGGGAGCCAGCCCAATGCTCTTCTAATGCTCTACGTATATAAATTATACAGTTTAAATAGTTGCTGGAACTTTAAAAAGGTTCCCTTACTGTTGGAAAATGCTGCTTGCTTAGATTTTTCTTCAGGGCATTTTCCATCTAACAAGGCAGCACGATATGGGTTTGCTGAGCTCCTGATTTGGTAGTTTGATTTTTTTTTTAACAGTTCATTTCACTACAACAGTAACAGATGACATGTTCTCTAGTCACTGGTTTGGTATGGGTTCTTACCTCTTGAGTTTTCACATTTATATATCCATAGTGGGTTCTGAGAGTCCGTCTTTGGGTATAGGAAAATGGTATCCATCTGACGCTTGTTTGTCCAAAGCAGTTCAATATCAAAGGGAAGTTCACTTCATTTGTGAGACGAACGATGATCAGGAAGAGGAACGCTGCTATGAAACTAACTGCAACAATGGATTTTCTCTGCAATTGAAAAAGAATGAAAAATAATTGTTTTACTAAAAATATGACGAGCAAGTTCAGCACAAAAAAACCCTTTGCAGTAAGCATTTTTTTTTAAAGGAAAGCTTTACCTGTTGTTGGGCCTATTGTATACAACCGCGACAGCTGCTCTAACCTTTCCTTTCCTGTGCCCTTGTAACACAGCAGAATTCACAGCTTTGTTGGAATCTGACAGGGCCATGCCATGAGCACTTCTGCTATGGCTTTGAACTTGCAACCTCTGGGCTGCCATCCACGTACCTTAGCGCCACCCCAGCCTCTGCTTTAACTCTGAATACTACTGAATGAATAATTCAGCACACTTTGAACCAATTTGTTTTCCAGGATCACAGATTTACAAAGTAAAGCCCAGAACAAGTTGACCTCCAGTGTTATTAACTGAAGAGGTCTCCTGAGTCTCCACCTAATTAACCCATACTTTTCACCTCTACCCCACCTAAACCTGAAGCCACTTAAGGTCTTCTAACCATAAAAAGAGCATTATGTTTCCCTCCGTGTAATTAAATCCAGCTGCAGGGTCATGGCACATTTCAAGATGACAATTTATAAGTACTTGTACTTCAAGAGGGATGTGGAAGGAGGGCCACTCATAGTTAGGGGCCTGCAGGAAAAGCCCTACGAGGAGAGATTGAGGGACCTGCATCTCTTCAGCCTCTGCAAGAGAAGGCTGAAAAGTGATCTTGTGGCTGCCTACAAATTCATGGGGAGAGGGGGGACAGCAAGGAACAGGAGATGCTCTGTTTACCAGGGCACCCCTAGGAGTAACTAGGAACAATGGCCACAAACTGACAGAGAGCAGATTTAGATTAGATATCAGGAAGAACTTCTTTATGGTAAGGGTGGCCAGAATCTGGAATGGGCTCCCAAGGGAGGTGGTGCTCTCCCCTACCTTGAGGGTCTTTAAGAGGAGGCCGGACATGCACCTGGCTAGGGTCATCTAACCCCAGCACTCTTTCCAACCCAGGGCAGGGGGTGGGA